CACACTAGTTTTTTCATCATACTGAATATAGAAATACTCCTTAAACATATCTCAAGTTACCCTCTTTAATTCCGGTACTTCTGAAGTTACCCCTGGTAAAACTGTAAAAGATGCTTTTGGATTCAAATAATAGTGCAGTGTGGACAAGTTAAAATGGTGTGTAACCGTCCGGGAGGGAGCTGGTAACCCCTATTACCTTTGTGAATTTGTGGCTTTGTACTGCCTAACGTGGTCTAGAAACACATGCCTGTATTGCAAACTTAATTGTCTTTTCAGTTATATACAAAAGTATCTGATGTCCGGAGCTGGCAGCCCCCCGAGGCCTGTTGTGGCAGCCTCTCCGGTGGGGCATGCCGAGGAGTTGGCACCGCACGCACCGCAGGCGGCCTCAATGGCATGTGCTGCTTCAGCTCCGCACGCCGCTATTGCATGCGACGGGCTCGTCGTGGAGGCGCCTCCGGTCCGTCCAGGTTGGGGAGATTGGCGAGGATGTTTCGTCCGGGAGATGGCGTCGAGAGTTTCTGTCTATTCCGCCCACGCGGGAATGGGTTGGGAAGGCTGGCAGCTCGTCTCGAGAGGGCGTCGTTCGACTCCCGCTGCTTTCCGTCGCCCTGTTGTCAATGTGCGTCCGCCTCCGGCGTGGATGAGAGATAGATGTTTCCGATGTCTCTGTCAAGGTCATCGTGCACACTCCTGCAGAGATCCTATCCGATGCATGGCCTGCCTTCGATCCGGTCACATCGCCCGCTTCTGCCGTGCAAAGAAGCATGTTCACCAAACATCGCCGCACCAATGTCCTACTCCATCGCCTGCACCCACAAGTGAAGTCACCACATCAGATGTGCAGTTCCAGTCTATCTTGTCTGTGCAAGCCGGGTTGGTGGAGGAGACCGAGTTGCTTCGCACTAAGCTTCGCGATTGTCTTGCGCGAGTTGGATGTTTTGGGGAGAGCGGAGGCCGCACTTGCCAAACTAGAGGTTGTGCCAGTTTATGTATTTGATGCCTGAGCCTCATATTGGGTCTTCAGTTGGGGAGGAAGCAAGCCTCTATGGACATTTCGTCCCCCGTGCTACATCACGTCCGTCGTCGAGGCCTGTGCTGCTGACTGCCTCTGGAAGTGCAGTCATCGGCGAGGCCGTGGCTCCAGTGCTGCAAATTATGCCTGAGCTGCAGGAGCATTTTGGCGAGCCCACTTCACCTCTTTCAATGGTGCTTTCGAAGGAGATGGGCAGGTGATGTCTGTGGGTGACGAGGTTGACGAGGTAGGTGCTTTGACACCTAATTTCGAGGCGCGATTACATGGCTCGCCTCTGCCATGTGGGCAACTGGAGGTGCCAGAGTCCATCGTGTCGGTAGTACCTGTGAGGTGATGTTTTTGCAGTGGTATCTATAAGGGACAAGGTGGCGTCTGTGGGTGCCGATGCCGATGAGGTAGGTGCTTTGGCATCTCATTCTGAGGCGCTGAAGTCCATCCGATCGCCCGTATTTGACCGTGAAGGTATGTTGGCAAGTATTGACGAGGTGGTCTTCAAGAAAAAGCTTTGCCGCTTGCTCACCTCCTTGGAAGTAGCTAGCCCTGGGTCTGGCAAGGAGATTACATGCCTCCTAGCGGAGAAGGCTTCTACAGGCAAAATCAAGAAGGTGAAGAAGGCTCGCAGGAGCATAGACAAGAGGAGTGATGGCGCGGCTGCTTAATGAATGATATCCAGTCTCTTCGACCACCATCTCCGATTGGCTCGTCTCTGTGGATTCGGTGGTATCCGTTGTCTTCGACCTTGATTTTGTTGAGGGTTTCTTAGCGACGTAGAAGCGCGAGGGATTGTGGTCGTTGCATGTTATGTGTGTTTCTCCGATTGACCGTGGGGTCGTGGAGTTTCTTTCTTAGCGAGTAGTCTGCATGTGGTCTATATGTATCGGTTTTCGCCCGGTTTTCCGTTAATTGACTAGGCAATTCTCTTCTTCTTAATTAATCGATGAGGCAAATCTTTTGCCTCCGTTTCGGGGAAAAAAAGTATCTGATGTTTACTTGCTGATTTGATTTTCGCATGCGTGTTGTCGATGTTTAGGAAGGTCAACCTGTACGTTCGGCCCGTATGCTTTTTGTAGCCATAGGAAGGAAACTTTTCTGTAAATTTCTTGCTAGGTGCCAATTGAAGTTTGGCTAATGATCCTCAACAGCTAGCTTGGGGAGCAAATGATACAATAATGTTCATCATGTGTCTCTCGGCTGCTGCTGGAACATGCTGCGGTTGCCTACTAGTTGATCTGTCAGTAAAGGTTGAATTTAGTGAAATGAAATTGACTGCAAATAATTTTACTAACGGCACTGTATTGGGCCAATTAAGGACCTGGAAATAGTGTTGGCTTTTCAGCAGGATCCTGTTGTATACTGCCTCATAACCTGATTTCAACATTACTACCACTAGATAAGCAGTACTCCCTCCGTTCCTAAATATTTGTTTTTCTAGACATTTCAAATGGACTATAACATACGGATGTATGTAGACATATTTAGAGTGTAGATTCACTCATTTTGCATCGTATGTAGTCACTTGTAGAAATGTCTAGAAAGACAAATATTTGGGAACGTAGGGAATAATTCTGAAATATCTTTGTTGCTTTCAAAACCTTTTGTTTTCAACATTTTTTGTCCGATTTTTGTCATTCTATATGGGGTACCCACACTCTTACATAAGAGAGGCTTGAGATACTGAATGTACGGGCAATTCCGATGGAATTGATCGCATTTCTCTGCTGGCCATACATGAAAGAATCAGCAGGAAACATGATGTTGGCTTGCTGTACATAGCAGTTTTTGTACTTTCTTCTGCCTATGGTCTGTGGTATGAGTGCCTAGTGCCTACACAACACTGAAGAACCTACAGCAAGCAAGCCATTTCTGCATCTCAGATACCTGCAGAGCAACCAATGTCATCAGTCAAACCAATTTGTAATAATCATTCATTGAAAAGCCATTCAAATACTCCCTCTGTTCCTAAATATAAGTTTTTTTAGTGATTCCAACGTGGACTACATGCAGAGCAAAATGAGTGAAACTACACTCTAAAATATGTCTATATACATCCGTATGTAGTCCTTATTGAAATCTCTAAAATGATTTATATTTAGGAGCGGAGGGAGGAGTGGACATTATCTTCATCACTATGGAAATTGCGCCAAAAGCTCAAGAGTTGAATCATCTCACATATTGGACAAAACCAACATTATAAACACTTAAACAGAGAACATCAATAAGACGACAACCAATTTGTCATGACACACCTTTCAAATTCTATTGTTAATGTTGACACATTGAGAACTTCCTTGCTCTTATCTAAGTAGAAGCTACATGATTAGCTAGCTTACCAACATGGGCATGTAGGTCATGGAGTAAAACTGAAACATCAAGGTTTCTAGCTCATATATGTTGATACTTGATACTCTCTTAGTTCAAATAGAAATCAATTTTAAAAACCTCCGCACAGCATAAAAAACAAAATGTTAAGCATACCTTTAATGATAATATGATACTCCCTCCGCACTAAAGTTAAGACACCTATTTTAGGATGGAGGGAGTATGAAATATCAAAACTGTAGTTTGTCTCTAAAGCAGTTTTGGTGGTGAATCTATCCATGTAAATTTTCAGAAGGTGTTCAGTACAAATATGTAAACATCTATGGTAACTAAAATACTACCTTCGTCCCATATTAATTGTCGCTCAAACGGATGTATCCAGACGTATTTCAATGCTAGATACATCCATTTAAGCAAAAAATTAATATGGGACGAAGGGTGAAATTAGACTAATTACAAACTATTGCAGCATCTAGTTTCGATATATAACGGGCTAATGGCCAAATGATAAACTACATATGCGACAGTTAGAATACCAAACTTAGATGTGCTGAGAAAATATTTAAGCAAACTTCCTAAGAATAGAACAATTGTGCATCAGACTTTAATAACACCAAGCAAAACTGTAAATATTAGTAAATCTGATGTGGACATGCTCTTCGAGTACTGTGACACAATCCAGAATGTATTACTCAGCATTAATTATTATAAGAATACCATGTGAGCGGCAATGTGGAACAGCATAGCTATAAGCCCAAATAACTAAAGGAAAGTCGAAGCCAAATGCTCTAGCGTTGTTGGTTATCAATTATATATACTCCCTTTGCCCCATAATATAAGATGTTATTATAACTAATATACTCATATATTATAGGACGGAGGGAGTACTTGATAGATTCGTAACCGCGTAAAATATATCTTAGACAATGTGGCACCCAGTATAAGTACGACCAGAAAATTCCACGAAGCACAGTAAAGGGATTATTTCTGTTATCATTATGTTACTACTTAGCATGACAACATTCCTCTCTGAGCAGGGACAAACAAATCCACAAATAGGGGAATGGGGAAGGGTCCAAGCACTGAAAAAAATAGCACACTATAGTGTTTTGAGAATTGTCTCGCTAAATAAATCTGTGTACAAAGTCTCGCTAACAGCACGCTAATAATGTATTTTAAAGGCTGGCGCTATTTTGCTATAGCCTGCTATTTTTTTCCTTGGTTCCAAGTCATCAGTCATCTGAGAAGTATGCTTGCACTATTAGAAGGAACTGGAGGAATACTAAGCAGGAAGAAAACTGGCAACTAGACAATATAACAGAAGCGAGGGCATGCGAAAGAGCACATTCAGTAGGGGGGAGAGAACATCAGTAAATAGAAGAGAAGGTAGCTGGGTTAAGGCATGATGAAGAGAATGGAAAGCTGCAGAGGTAGGAATGAGGACTCAAGGCCTAGAGAAAAGATCCAAGATGCAGCCTACCATGCAAGCATGATGGGTGCAGCAAGGTGAGCAATAGCTTAGCAAAAGATCAGAGAGAATTTTGACGTGCTCTCTTGCAATTGCCTTGAGAAATGACAGTAAAAAGGAAAGCAATATTACAATAAACTTGCATGCAGAAGAGAAGCTTACCTGGTCAGCGTCATCTTACGCATGTCTGACCAGACAGTTATCTTGCATGTTGTGCAAAAGTTCAGCTCCATCACGTTCACCGCCAATATCTGTTTTTGAAATGGATAAGTCAAACAACCAATGTCATTCCAATAGAAAGCCAACTAGATATGAGAAGGCATCAGAGGGATATTCAGCTGAATTTTGAATTAGGGTTTCATTGAGAAATGGACCAGGTAGGTTTCTTCTTGTTGCTCCAAAATATTCAGCTAAACTCAAAGGTGTAATTTTAGAGAAAAAAAGACAGGTCTCGTGCAACGTTAGGAATAGATAGACAAAACCACACTATTGTCAAATACAAAGAATATCCCTCAAAAGAGTATGTAGTTGTACTCATTAACATCATAAAAATGAAGAACATGGACACTCAGACTATTAGCTAATCAGAAGAAAGAAGTTAGCTAGAGTTAATTATTCTTAAGCTCATCTCATGCTATATAATTTTTTTGTAAAATATGCTCATGTTAACAATTCCTACCAACAGAAGTGAACATGACAATTCAGATTTAGATTATCTATATCCAAATTTGACATGAAAATGTGAAATGAACTTAGCTTATTATAAAATCCTAGTGCAAATGGACTTGATACTCACAAAAGGTTTCTCTCCAAGTGATAAACCGAACAATTGTTTCATAGAATTTAAAGCAAGTCATTGTTACTGATTTACAATTATCAGAATATCAGCATAGATAACAATATTTAATGACATAAATATAACTAGCTTTAAGCTTCCAATTGTATGTATTGAGCTATATATTTAACATTTTAATTTGTTCATTCTAGTTCAAGTTGTCTTCAAATTGCAACTGTTATATAGCTCATTGTATAAAAAACCCGACACCGCAGCTATGCACTAGCAGTCTGGCACTCCATATACAGCTCTTGCATATGTGAATATGTAGGGAAAAATGACATTTAGTTCAATTGTTATACCAAGTACTTGGCAATCTTGGTATTAATTGTTGTATTGCATGGACATTCCTACAATAAAGTGGTAGAGACAGTTGGCTAGACTTGAACGACATAGTCCAATAATAGTAAACTAGTAATGATAATGTGAGAATATTAGAAACAACATCGCTACATATTTTTTGACAAACTCAGTCTATCAAAGAGACCACAGTACAGTAGAACAATGACAACCCATCGTCTCAGTTCAGAAAAAAGAACCGGTGACATAAATTAGCTAAATACCACTTGCAGGTATTTTCCAGCTCAGAACTATTACATAAAACACCAGCACGCACTTGACACGAAACGCTGCAAAGGTGCAGAACAATATTGCTATATGTTGAATAGATCATTGAGCAACAAATGAAATAATTGATACGAGCCAACATAAAATTGTTGGATTAATACGGAAGGATGTGAACAGCATTTCGTCAACCACTCATCGAAAACCGACTTGTTTCTGTTATAGGCACAGTGTAAGGGATGCTATTACCTGCAGTGTAGACACTTTCGAATGGATGATAGTGAGACAAGTAGTTGGTTTTGGAAAGTTTCTTGAACTGCAATGACTTAAGCTGGACCATGAAGACGCCGACTTTTGTCAACAGGAAGAACGCAATATTGTCCTCGGCAAACCCTATTATCAGTTGGGGCCCTCCATCATCTGGTTTGAGGGAAAGTAGCTTGTCCAATTCAATGGTTGTTCTCAGCACCCATGAAACAACACCATCACAATTTTTCTCCATATTCCATAATTGGGCATTGAAGTCCCATGAGGAAATGAGGAAAGAAAGGACACCACCCTCCACTCGCATAAATGAGAAATGGCAAGCATTAGTGGCGTACAAGTCCACTGGCATATGTATCAAAGTTAAGCTCTGCCTATCCAAATCAAATTCAAGTATGCGTGGACTCTCACCAATAAGAACCCAATAAAGGCAATTCCCAACGAGGACACAAGCCATGCCCGTATAAGCCGACCGAGCCTCGTATGGAAGCAGTGTCGAGAGTAGATTGCCCCATATGCCCGTCTCCGAGGAGTAAATGCAGGCGATTGCTCGTGGATGTTGTTCCTTGTATGTGCCTATCAATACCACTTGGAAGTGGTGGTTGTCCCCGCCAGCCCGGAGCACCGCCCCGGTTGTCCGTCTCCCCGTCACCACACAAAAGCTCGGAGGAACGGCTATGCGGTGCTGGTCGCCGCTGATGGGGTCCCACACCAGGACCTGGTTGTGCTTCAGGAGGAAGATGAGGACGAGGCCATGGCGGCAGTTGAGGAGGCTGAAGCCGCCGACGTCGTCGCACTGCAAGGAGAATCGCCCGACGGGGACACGATTGGGGGGGTCGAGAGCTGGTACGAAGGATATAGATAACGCCTTCTCAACGAAGGAACCGAGGATGGGAGGGCTGCGGCGGTGGTGGCGGCGGAAGCGGTGGAGGAATCGGGGGTCAGAGACGAGGCCTCGCCAGCTTTTGCAGATGAGGGAGGCGCGCGGGAGGGAGGAGGGCTGAGGGGGGAGGCGGAGGAGGATCTCGGAGAGCAAGTCATCGTCGTCCAGCGGCAGCACCGCCGGAGAGTGGGGGTGGCGGCGGAGGCTGGCCGTCATCTCGACCTCACGGAACGGATGTGGTGGGGGTGGAGCGGAGCAAACGGCAGTGCAAGTCGAAGAGGTCGGGGGCCCAATACTGGTCTAGTCTGGACTTCAAAGCCCACGATGTGCGCTGAGAAATTAATCACTTTTACTATTTTTCAGACGTCTGTTTTTAAATTTGCTTCAGGTTGTTTTTCTGTCCGTCCGACCCGTTAACAATCTCTGTGCTTCGCTTGTCCTCAACCGCGCGTAACGGATAGTCATCCGTCGCGTGTTTCATTGGGTTTTTCGACCCGTCATGGTCTTCTTTTTGAAACTTTCTTATTCCCTAAAATCTAAAAAGCGGCCGGCCACTATTTGGTGACATTGGGCGGCCGCGCCTCAACCGCTCGATGCATCCGTATCGGGAGGCCCACCAGTACTTTGCTACCTGACAACCACTGCGCAGGGGCACACCGCTTCGTCCCTTCGTTCCAGAACAAAACACTTATCCCGATCCCCTTTCCTCGTTCGGAGCACACCATCATCGCCAGGGAGATCGATGGGGAGGTGGCTGAGCGGAGGCGCCCGGCAAGATGTCCGGATGGGAACCGAAGAAGAAGCGCTGCCGTCTTGTTTCCCCCTTCTCAGAGCTGGACCTGAAGCGATCCCGTCGGCAGCGCCGTCGTTGAGGGCGGTGGCTTCGTCGTTGATGAGGTACCTTGCGCTGGCGTGATTCACTTCTTATCCTTGCGCTGGCGTGATTCCCTTCCTCCCCATGGCGCCGCCCTGCTCTTCCCCTTCCTCCCCATGGCGCCCGCCTGCTCCTTCCCTTCCTCGCCATAGTCGATGTTGCTGCTGCTGCAGATGGCTGGGCCAAGGACGACGGAGCGGCTGCCGTAGAGGGCGGCCTGTGCGGCGCAGCCAAGAACGACGGCCCAGGCCACCACAGCATCATCGACAACCTGTCTCGTTGCTCCTTCCCCAACTAGATCCAGCCCCCTCGCGGCCGTGATGAACACATAGTCAAAGAATCTTCAGATCGCCAACCAGGTTCGTCCCCGTGGATTAACATCCATGGATCTGTAGTTGATCTGCTAGGGGAAGGTAGAGCACTAGCCCCAGCGGCTTTTCACATGATTTTTGCTGATTTTGAGAGGGGGAATTGCTATGTGTAGTCAGTCTATTTTTTTGTGCAACTAGGGCGCCGTTCATGTGCAATTTATCATAGCCACTAGCCAAATTTGTAAGTCAGTTTTTGGTGTTAGTTCTATGCAACTAGGGATGCCTCCCTGTGCAACTAGGGATACATTACTGTGCAACCATAGGAAATGTGCCTGGTAGTGAAACAGAGGTTCATATTTTCTTTTTCTTTTTATCCTATGGCCATTTATTTTATGCTCCTTTCTTTTATCCTCTGAGTAGTTCAATATTTTTTGTTCATTGTAGGGTTCTCCAAATAGGACCTCTCGGCGGAACTCAAAATGGGCGGCGAAGCGGCAACCACATGGCGCTGATAATGACGGGGATGGAGAGGATGATGATGTGTCCCAGAGAGTATATAAATGAGCTGGCATCCTCAGGCTTTTTCTAGTTGCACAAGAGTACCTGCTTAGTTGGCATCCTCAACATTTCTAGTTGCACAATACCATCCAACTAGTTGCATCCTTAGTCTTTTTGTAGCTGCGTTGACACCCTCTTCTTCTAGAAGCCTGAAACCAGAATGTGCAATTTTTTGATGGGTCATGCAAGTGTTGAATATATCTTTTCCCAAGAGTATCTAATTAATTGGCATCCTCAAGATTTATAGTTGCACAAGAGTATTCAATTAGTTGGCATCCTCAACATTTCTAGTTGCACATGAGTATTTAATTAGTTGGCATCCTGAGCATTTTCTAGTTACACAATAGCATCTAACTAGTTGACATCCTCAGTCTTTCTAGTTGCACAAGAGTAACTATTTTAGTTGGCATCCTCTGCATTTTGTAGTTGCACAACTAACATAATATCAAGTTGGCATCATCAACATATTTTATCCGGTTTTTTAAAGGACAACAAATATTTTTTTATGCAGTGTTAACTAATCACCTTTGGCACCTTTTGTTTGCAAAAACTCAGGTGATCACGTCAGAATGTGATCACCTTTGGCACCGTTTTCGGATGACAGGAAATAGAATTTCATCTCCTTTTCTATTTCACTTTTAGTATATAGAACATCCTATAGAACATATTTCCCCTGTTGCAATAGAACATATTGATGTTCAGTTGGCAGGAGAACTAATTGCACACACGATGATGTTTGTTGGCTTGTAATGCAGTCTACTTGCACACACAATAATGTTTAGTTGGTAGGAAAACTAGTTGCACACACAAATGCTCAGTTGACTTGTAATGTAGTCTAGTCGCACACACATTGATGTTTAGTTGGCAGGACTAGTTACACACACATATACTCAGTTGGCGCGGCAATGTAGTCTAGTTGCACACACATTGATGTTTAGTTGGCAAAACTATTGGCACACACATATGCTTAGTTGGCGTGACAATGTAGTCTCGTTGCACACACATTGATGTTTAGTTGGCAGGACTAGTTACACACATATACTCAGTTGGCGTGGTAATGTAGTCTAGTTACACACACATTAATGTTTACAGGTGAGACCCTCAAGATGCACATCTCACTAGCTGGGTTGGATGGAAAGGGGTGCTAGCACTGAAAACTACACATCCACGGATATGAGGAAAGTTACACATGCACATCAACCGTTAGGTAGTTGGCTGGAAGGACAGTTTTCGAAGTTGCACATCCACTGCTTGGCAGTTGGCCGAGGTAGCAAACAGTAAAAATTGCACTTCCAACTAGAGGAGAAAAGTTGCACATCGACTACTAAGCGGTTGGCTGGGGACAGCAGACATAGTTGCACATCTCACTTAATAGTGGGTAGTTTGAGGTGAGGTGTCATCATTGAAAACTGCACATCCCTGGATAAAGAAAAAGTTGCACATCGACTATTAGGTAGTTGCACACAACAACTAGCCAGTTGCACAAAACGGGGACAAAATTTCACAAAAAAAAGTTTATTGAAACATATCCATGTGGGATCTAGTTTCGAAGAGCACATCGCGAGGATTTCAGCAGTGAAAGCGGATCTTAATTTCGACTTTTCGTTCAAAAGTTATGGCTTTTCTAAAAAATTTAAATCTGAATTAAATGCGTTCACACATGTTCGTGTGTGTGCTTTTGCAATTCTGGTTAAACATGTCGTGTAGTCTTTGTCTTTTTCTGGCTAGGAGGACAAAATAATTCCTAATTTGTTTGATTAAGACAAAAACATACTAAAAATGGAGTGGCCACCACGGATTCCTATCGAGCGCCCAGCCGCTCGGTAGACACGTCCTTCTTATTCAGGCGGTGGGCAGCTGCTTCTGTCTAGCTGACTGAGGAGGGGATTGGATGGGCTTGGCCGAGGCGAGCGGAGACGCCGCAGGGAGGGCTCCTTGCCGGTGATTAGCGGCATGGCCGGCCAACCGGAGGTGGCGCGCAGCGAGCTTTCACTGGGACGACTGTAGGTAGGAGAGATGTCGGGCTGGAGAGGAGCTCGCACTAGTGAAAAAAGGGCTAGAAACAACTTTAGTTGGTGACACCTCATTTTCAAACAACGCCAGCACTACTTTTCTTAAAATAATAGTGACGTTGGCATATTTGGTACGTCGGCTTTACATGGTTAGTGCTGCCATTGCTTTTTTTTTAACACGTCACAAATATTTTGGCCCATCTATACTCACCGTTTGCAAGATAGTGGTCGCGTCGGATTAATAAGCACGCCGTAATTAATTATCTATTGTCGGCGTGCTAACTTAAGTATTTAATGATTATCCTAGTCAAAAAATAAATGAACAGTTATATTATATTTTTGTCTTTATTATTAGTAGTATTTTTATCATTTTCGGTCTTTTATTTTAGTTGGTGGCGAGTTGTTTGATGCCCGTCACCATTATATTATTTTTATATTATATTTTTATCTATTTACTTTTCGTACATGGTGAACATTTTTATATTATATTTTTAGTTATTTATATAATATATTTTGTGATATTTTTATATTATATTTTGAGTTATTTATACTAAATATTGTAGTTACTTTTATTAAAGTAAGAAAATTTTAATTGGAAAGGGTGACATTTTTACAATATATTTTGTGATAATTTTATCAAGTAAAACGGAGGGCAACCACGCACATACTTATTGGGCCTAGCTCATGAGTGCGTCGGTAGCACTGTATTAAAAAACGAAGGGCCAACGGACCTCTCGCCCCAACTCTCTCTCTCTCTCCCATCAATGAACCCGACGCTTGATCCCCTTTTTCGTCGGGCGATTCCGGCCATTTC